CCCCAAAACCCCAAAACCCCAAAACCCCAAAACCCCTTAGCTTCAATTATATGGAATATAAAAATTATTGGTATATAGAATTTGAGAATAAAATAATACAATTAGTAATGCAGATTTGATTTTATTCATGCTATTAGATTTCAACATCATAAATATTTTCAACACCCTTCTTCTCTTTGTTAAAAATAAGCTAAACTTCCACATTTTTCATTCATATTATCATAAGGTTTTATTGTTGAGAAGCCAGGAAGATGTATTCTGAAATCTCCCATCAATTAACAGTATTCAACATGAGGATCAGCTTCTTAGCATTGCTTAGGTCTTTAGCTTTTCTTCTTATCAAAGAAATCTAGCTGATATACATCTCTCATTGTGAATTCTTAAGCGTTAATTTTAACATTAGGGAACATGCCTGCTGCTTTGTACAATGCAACTATGAAAGTACTAGAAGAATACTAAGGTTTTGTAATAAGGCCATTGTCATCATGGTAAGTCCATACATCTTCTTCTGGTTGCGCCAAAATTTCAGGAATAGTAGTGTTGTCCTCCACAATAGATCTAATAAAAACTTCTTCAAAGGTCTGATATTCATCTCCTACTAATCCTAGCCTTCTTTTCATTCCAGGCTTAAATAAGCTGTTAAATGCCTCGGGATATAATTCTGATATGTGCTTGACCAACATTCCGACCCCTTCTTTTTCAATCGGTAAAGGATAGTTTTGATCAAGAGTGTCAATTATTGCGAAAATTTGCTGTCTGTGGCCATATGGATTACCCTCATGCAGATCAAAGAATTTCCAAGCTTTAAGTAGATCAAAATTCTTAGCTCTCAGAGTTTATTTCATTTTTATCCATACTACATCATAATCAGCATATTCTGCCAATTGCATCCATTCTTCGAACTTGTTCTTTTAAATTCCTTTTTTACCCGATTCAAAATACAAAGCATCCTGACTTTCAACAACCCACAACACGTCGTCTTACCATAAAGCCATAGCAGCATGCCCAACAAGACTTCCACTAGCTACCATTGTAAATGGTTGAACTCCATCCAATCTTCTCACTAAAAATAGATCACCAGATTTGATAAGGGACTTATCAATTTCAACAGTGTCAATTATTCTTTGCTCTAGTTTCAGACCCAATTACTTTTCTAGGTACTCTATATTCATATCTCTTTGATAGTCAGTGATGTGATCTCCCATTGTTGGAATATATCTACTTAATCCCAAGCCTCCTGCAAAAATACTCATTGTTTCAAGAGTACTGGGAATCATGTCTTGCCATGTTTGGCAAAAAGTGAAGAATTAAATACCATTTTTGTGTAAGTCTAATATATCCGTATACTTAGTAAACTCAAGTTCAAAGTATTTTTCCCCTTTCGTCATGAAAAATTAGTAGTTGCTCTAAAATGTAGTACCTACCATCAAATGTTCAATGCACAATAAGTCTTTTGTTTAACCGTGAAGATGTACATAAAATTTAGCTTTTAACTAGGTTTAGTTCACATCTAGGAAATGAAAGGTAGTGGAAATTCCCATATTTAGGAAACAGGACCCTCTTAAGTTGTTAATATTATGAGTCGAGTTGTCCTAAAGTTTTATTTGTGCTAGGAATAGTGGCAACTATGTCATGAATGGTGAGAGATGCTTGATATTGTCACAGCTATACCTATTTATCGATTAATTAGTATTCACAAAGGTTATGAATAAAATAGCCAAGCTTAAAAGTTTTATAGTCTTGCCTGATACCATTGCTTTCATTTAAAACAATTTATTATATTAAAAAATAATCAGATTTTAGATATTTTATTTAAATGGGGTTTTGGGGTTTTGGGGTTTTGGGGTTTTGGGG